TTAAGAATATAGATTTGAAAGCATTGAGTAAATTTAATTTACTTTCAAAGGGTTCACCAAAAGGGTGAAGAAGTTAGGAAGCATTTGAGGGACATGCCCTTTCTACAGAAGAGAGAAAATTACAAAGGCATATTATGTGTACATATATTATGGACATCATTGCAGCATTCAAACAAATGAGCTAAATAATCATTGCCGTTAATAATCATAATACTCTTACATAAAGAAGGAGGTGATCTTGTGCACTAAGCGCTCTGGATTCCGGAACCACTTGCACATACACGTCACTAACATGGACCCAATGGCCTGCCAATTCACTGCGAGGTTCTTTTAAACCAGACACATTTTTCTTTCCAGCGATATGTTCCAATAATTTCCTGGAGGGTGTTTCTCACTTTCACATAAGTGAAAACACTTACATTGTGGTATAGTGGTATAGGTACCTCCTCTCAGTGAGCCAATACGTTCCCTTGTATGGTAGAGACCACAGAGAACTTTGTTTCCTGCATTTGCATTCTTGCAGGTAGCAGAACAGAATGGTGCTAGATTAAGCATAAGTGGAAAATTTGCAAGTCTGTTTAGTTTACAAAGACTCAGCAGCCTGATGGAATCTTTTAAGATGTGGAATTAGGACAGCCAGAACAGCAGAAATTAGCAATTGCTTCTTGGCATTAATATAAATTCCTGCTTTCTTTTCGGCAGAACTCATTTCCTTTTGGTACTTCTGTTGGTTTTCAGTACGATTCTCACATAGAAGCCTGTCATTCCCTAGCAGTAGAATAGATGGAAACTGGTAGAAACAGGACCAAATTGAACATTCTGTACAAGCAGTGATATAGCTCTGAGAAAGGGTCTGGAAAGCATTTTGAAGACTGTGAAACCTCAAATGCTTTTCCTCTGAAAAACATAAATTATTCAAGACACTTAGTGGCTGATTTTCTGCATCAAAATCTCTATTTCCAGTTACAGTGCTGCTCAAGTGAAGCGGAGAAACAGCTGCAGCCATTCTCTCATCACCACTGTCAGTCTCATTAGCATGTGGCAGTTCACCAACTGATGGATGGTAAAGGTGTCCATACGTGTGCTCCCCAGCTCCACTATTAGAGCTCAACAGCCTGGTCTGCCTTGAAGCGCTTTCAGATTCTGAAGCCCCACTGTCCGCCTCGACGCTTCCTTCAAAACATCTTCTTTTTCACTGCCATCTGTAGGGTTTCTTTCAGGGGTAACTCAGCACTTCTGATGCTTGCAGACATTCAAGAATCTTCATTCATTTCAAGGTTTTCATTTTTCCAGTATATGACAATGGGTTCCTCGCTCCAGATGAAGATTTTCTTCTTATATGTTTTTGGTCATGAATTTCTTGATTCTTATCTTTAGATGAAGAAGACGTCTTGGTGGTTCTCGGTTAATGACTATTTTCTATTGTAACAGTGTCACTGTACTGGTCATGATCTGTCTCCTGTAAACTTCTATAACTCATTCCACTCAAAGGTAAAGGTTTTGAAACCCTTTCTTCTATTATAGGAAGGGAAATGTCAGTGAAAGGATCTTTCGACCATGCTAGTTAATTTGCCAATAAAGATCTGATCCGGGAAGTTCATTTTCATGCCTGTTTTCTGTGTGCTTTAACTTTTTCTCTAGTTTCATCAGCAGCAGTTTTAGTAGTTAGATTGTTAAATGCTTTTAGAATGCCAGCTTATATTTTGTTTCTTCTGTCCTCGTTGCATCCAACAGATAACAAAGAACCTCCTGACTGCCCTGTTGTTGGAAATCTTTAAATCAAGGTGCCTTCTGACAAACTAATTAAAAAGAACTATAGGAGAAAGTGGTCCTTTCTTAGTCTCCTTCATGCTGTGAAGAAGGCTGAGGTCAGTGGTCTAGGGCTTGAAAGTTCCACTACTAATGGGTCCAGCTGAAAGTCTGAGGAAGGAAAAATCATGAGTTTTGTACTATTTTCTTTGGTCTCACTCATCAGTTCACTAAGGATGTAAACGTGTGCCAAATTTTGCATGATTGCATTAGAAAAGCAAGTATTTCCTAAATTTGTAATTCCCTTTACAGATGGTAGACAGCTGCCTTTTCTTCCCTTCTTTATTTTATCTGTTTCACATTTTTCTTCACTGAGATTCATGATTCTGGAGAATGGATCTGTAGTTCCAACAACTCAGGGGCAGAGGCAGGAGCAACCCTTCAACCCACGAGTTGGAGACCAGCCTGGGTGACATAATAAGATCTTACCTCTGAGAGATCCTGTAGCTTGATCCACAAGGAAGGTGACATCTTGCTCTAGACCTTCTGGAAACCTTTTAATTCAGAACCATGTGTCTCCCAAACCTTGAGAGCCCTGCTCACACTCAGACTACATCAAGAGCCGCATCCCAGATGCTATTTATGACGCCAGAAACACCACTGAGACCCTACTCCATCTTGAGTTAGGCCACCTGCTCCTATGTTCCATAGCTTCCTGTTTCTTTGTTTACTCTCTTATTTTAGGAAAACTCTTCTTTTGTGGCTTCCTGATACAAGATAAATGAGGAGTAAAATTTTTGAGACTTTTTGGAAGTCGGAGAATAATTGAGAATCTCTTTAGACATCTCTCATTCTTGAGAATTCTTTTCTGTGTATAGAATGATTTCCCCTTAGAATTTTGAAGGCAAAACGGCATGCTTTCCGATTCCTAGTTTTATTGTCAAGAGGGCCTATGTCATTACGGTTCCTCATCTATCACGTGTAACATGTTCTGAGTGTCAGGCATGGTGGCTGATACCTGTGGCCCCAGGGACTCATGAAGCTAAGCTTCTTTGAGCCCAGGAATTTGAGGCTACAGTGAGTGAGCTGTGATTGTGTCACTGCACTCCAGCCTGGAAGACAGAGAGACCCTGTCTCTAAATACACACACACACCATGGCCTCTCCTACCCTAAAAAGTTTAAGTACCTCCTCCCTTCCCCTTGTCTTCTAAAATTTCACTATAATGTATCCAAGGTTTTTTACTTATTATATTAATTGCCTGGCAAGCACTTGGCAGAAATTATTCTGGAACTATTTCTCTAATAATTTCTTCTTCTTCTATAATGTGTCCAAGGATTTCTATTTATTATGTTAATTGCCTGGTAAACACTTTGCAGAGATTATTCTTGAACTATTTCTCTAATAATTCCTTCTCTCAGTTTCTTTTTTTTTTAATTCTCTGGAGCTACTATTAGTTAACTTTTGTACCACCTGTTTTGTTACCTTAAGTTCTTTCTTTTTTTCTACTTTTCATCTTGATCTTTTTGTTTTGCCTTCAGAAAGATTTCCCCAACTTTATCTCACAGTCCTTGTTTTTTTTTTAATGGGGAACAGCTGGCTCAGCCTTAGTCTTGACTGGAGGGGCTCCTGCTGCTGGCTTGGCAGCAGGTTTGGAGATGCCCCTGCTGGTTTCTTGACTGGAGGGGGCCCTGCTGGTTTCTTCATTGGAACATCCTTCTTGGGAGGCATGAT